ATGAATTTAACAAATTTGCAGTAGTGTAGTAGCGAAATTTTATAGGTTGGTGATGATAGAGCCTTAAAATAAACCAAAAACAAAAACAATATAAAAATCGTTTGTAACTCAATTTACCCATGAAACTTCTTTCTGCGCGTTAATAAAAAGGTTTTCATGAGAATTTTTCGGTATTAACAAGATTTTTCTAACCTAACGCTAAATATAATTTTAAGTCTTAAGTACAGTACATGCTGATACATACGTACGTACCTAAAAAATTTCTCTGGCCAATCAATTTTGTTTATTCGAATAATTCGAATGAGCCAATAATTCAAATAAACAATAAGCCGAATAAGTCAACATTCCTAATAAAATTAATATAATAAGATAATTTAATAATAAAAATGAAAGAATTGATTGTAATACTAACTTCCAGCTAGACCGCCACCGTAAGCTCCTCTATCAATGGCGGTTAATAACTATTATTTAAATTAATTAACTTAGACATTAATAATTATTGAATTAAAACAGAGTATTGAAACATTATATCAACCTTCTTCTTCACTCAAAGGAGCGTCTAGCACGAAGTTAGTCAATGCTAAAACTTTCTCATTTCTTTCCGTTACCCCCTTATAGGTCTGCTGAGTCCTCTTCTCCAACAACTGGATCATTTGGAAAAGACCTATATAATATTGAGTTTACCACAGCTTGTGAAGCAAAATCAGCAACTTGTCAGTGTAAATTACTTTGCGAGATATTATGTCATAGATATAAACATAAATTCTATAAATATTTGTTACAGGAAATTTATCTTTTTTTAACAAGAGTATCACTCGTTACGAGGGTGTCAAAAGCATTTTACAAACATTACTAGCACGCAAAGCTGTTTCAATGGCAACTGCTCGTTCAGTGGTAAATGCTATTATTGAAAAAAAAATTAAGTTACTTAATTTAACTCTAAATTTAGACTATGATCTACCTGACATAGTGTAATTAAATCAAATATCAGATATTCTTGGGTAAGGGAAAAACATGATTAAAACACACCAATATATAATACCAAATTCTCTTAGGTGCCATTGTACGTCTATCGAAATTTTTTATATCAATATCAAGCTTCTCAATGGTAAACCTTGCTTATTTGCTCCTCCTAATTAGTAATTCTTGGCATTGGTGATCTGAATAATATAGAATTTCTAAAATTTCTA